ATAAAATATTTTTTTATGAATAGTATAAAAAATTAAATTAATGGGGATAACTACCCATTGCCATCCCTACTTCAATCAAAATAATAATAGTAAATAAATAAATAATCTATCTATCTAGAATGAAGATATCAAGTCACTGTAATCTTTGACTACGTGCTAGATGTTCCCTAGTAGTAGCTAGACGACAAGACAGGCAACCTTCTTTTACTTGCGTATTAATTCATACCTTAATTTCCGCTAATTAATTGCATATGTGTCCATCAAAGTTTGAAGAGGTTTCAACACTTTCTTAACTCATACATTTTATTTTAGCATGAATTACATTGATTAATTTACATCATCGAACCTTGTAAATTGTGCATCTGATGGTGAAAAGTGTGCAACAGATTATCTATCTAATTTAGATCATCGAACCTTATGAAGGCATTTCTTGCTAATAAACAAACCTGGAACCTTTCAAAGTTACTTTTATACCTTATTTACAGTAATATTCTTGAATTAATATGATCTTTGAATATTTTTGATACTACTCATTTTTAACCTCTCATTTTTATAAAAATTCAAAGAAATAAAAAAAATACATTTTATGCGATTTCTCTAATTTTTCTAAATCGTGAATATATTTTACATATTTTCATTCTTTTTGACGAGTTTTGAAAATAAAAATAAGAACATAATAAAAATAAACATCAACAAAAATTGAGAAAAGAAAAATAAGAACACAAAATAGAGAATAAAAAGAAATAAAAGACAACAAGAGAGAAAAGAAATAAATAATGTGAGAGGGGTATCCTCATTTTTATTATTTATCCATACTTTTCTGAATAGCCTAATTCTGCTTAAGAATTAATCAAAACACAAAGTTTTCTTCTAGCAGAACATGAATCTATCTTAAAATATATCCACAAACATACTCCATAAGAGATAAGGATGAGTCACATTATTTTACCAAAAAAGCCCAAGAAAAAGATAAAGGATGAATTTAGATACAAATTTATTTCGGAACACATCTTACCTACACATATAAAGGATGAATTTAGATACAAATTTAACACTTTTTCTTAAATACTGTTCAATAAAAGTATTCACATCAAATTTTTTAATCTACTTATAACATCCAAGTAAAAAAAATAACATATAGAAGATAACTCATGTTCTGTGTTTTTAAAAAGTTTTTAATTATAATTAATTTTACATTATTTAAAATATTAAAATATTCATCTTTTTATTTGTTTAGTTTTAAAATTATCTTAAAATACCATTAAGTTGAAACCAAGAATTAAGATTTATCTCCTTTTTTTTCTCTTTAATGCAAACATTATGTCTTTTATTTTTACAATAAATGAATAATTATACATTACAATGGTGTTTTATTCAAAATAATAATAATAATAATAATAATAATAATAAAGTATTTTAATCTTTTAAATAATATGAGATTGGTTGTAACTTAATTTTAAAAAACAAAACATAAAACATCGGTTATTTTCTCGATTGTTAATTATTTACTTAGATGTGAGGTGTTTAAAAAAGTTTAATGTGGACATTTTTATTTAGCAAAATTTTTTTAAGTGCTAATTTCTCTTAAAATAAAATAAAATAAAATCTCTTTCTCCTTCCCTCTCACAACCCATGTCAAAATCCAACATTGCGTGCAGCCTCCACCAACCAAAACAAAACACCACAGACCTCACGACCATCTTTTCTAACAACATAAGCCCTCACCCTATGGAAAAACACCACAAACCGACCCGAAATGACCTTGTCTCCTTGGATTTTCCAACTTTAGGAATAACCCTTGCTTCTTCTTTTAGTCCCGGTGTTGTCGACCATGGCGACAACATGCTCCAACTCATGATAGCTCCCTCCACAATGTAGAACATCGATAGCTACCTATCAAAGAAGAAGGAAACAACCTAAAGTTCTTGAGCTTGATCCTCCCTCATTGGTTGGTTGTGAGATACACAATCTTTAGTAATGGATTGACGAGGTTGAAAGCTCTTTGATACACTCGAAGCACGTGCTAAAAGAATCACTAAAAGGCATATCATTGGAAATGTAGCAATGGTGTGTGGAAGCACATGCTAGGGGTCTTTTTTGGTATTTCATAGTATTTTTCTAGGGGGCTCAAACAATGGCACGGGAATAGAATTAACCACTTTACTAATCGGGGAGACCTAGGAAATCCTAAACAAACTAATCTATATAAATATCTAGGTAAGGGGTCGGTTACATATGAGGAAGATATAACTCACTATCATCTCGTCCTACCTAAGGTAGGCTACATTGTTTGTATATGAAAATAAAAATCTAGTTTTATTATGTTATGTTTTTATATCTATTAGAGTGAATTTATTTTATTAGGATGGAATAGCGAGTAATTTAGATTTCAAATCGGTCCAAGGTCAATACCCATACTCGAGAGAGGAAAGATGGATAGAAATTAGAATTTTGGCTAAAACCTCGGTGATCGAAAATTTATATTGGAAAAAGACGAGTCTCTTATGATTATGAGCTCATGTTGACATAATCGAACACTATTGGCAACTTTGTCTATATAAATAGGAAGTCACTCGATAATTTTGATTTACATAATTAAAAATATAAAGTGTCATCGGTGACTCCATTTACATAAATGCCACCAACAATACAAAAAAAAAATTAAATAAAATAAAAATGACGAGTCTCTTATAATTACAATATATAAAAGAAATCATTTGGAAAGAAAATGACGAGTCCCTTGTGATCGCAGTCCATGACAACGATGTTCGTCGGAATAAAAGTATCGAGTCTCTACTAACTCAAGCCCATAATAGTGATGTTCTATTATAATAAAAATGGTGAGTCTTTTATGATTCAAGCCATTAAAAAATCATTTAGGAAAAAAATGACGATTCCTTTGTAATTGCGGCCTATAATAGAGATATTTTATTAGAATAAAAGTGGAGAGTCATTTTGTGACTCAAGCCCATAATAGAGATGTCCTATCAAAATAAAAATGATGAGTCTCTTGTGACTCAAGCCCATTAAAGAAATTATTTGAAAAGAAAATGATAAGTCCCTTGTGATCGTAATTCGAGATAGAGATATTCCGTTAGAATAAAAGTAATGGGTCTCTTTTTACTTAAGCCCATAAAAAAATTTATTTGGAAAGAGGTTCGAAGCCACTACTCGGGTTTGATCATATAGGTGGGAAGACACCAATAACCTCATTTCGAACAAGTAGAAAACATGTAATATGACTTCAAAATCACTCGGCGACTTCATTAAATAAATAAAAAGTCACCGATGACTTCATTTCAATAGGAATGGCAATGGAAAATTTTATCATCCCATCCCCGCCCCAAACGGGTACGAGGATCCTTGGAGGGCACTAATGCCCCATTTAATTTTTTTTTGTCTCGTCTTATCCCATTCTACTATCAAATTTCAAACTATAGAAAAAAAAGATAGTTCATATAGAAAATAAACCCTAAGAGTCGGTAGTCGGAGATTTTATATAGGGTATAATTATAATTTTAGAGATGAAATGAGATACACGACGTGGGATGGGCAAATGCTAATCCCCATTCAAAATAAATACGGGGTACCCCACCCCACCTTATTTTTTGATCAACGCAGGGAATCCTCGCATTGACTCGAGCGGGGCAAATTGCCATCCTTATATTTCAACAATCAAAATAAGATAAAAATGGTTTGGGTATGTATATTATGCATTTAATGAATCGCAACCACACATACCAAATCACAACACAAACAATAGCATCACATAAATATGGAAACACTAGGACTAGAATTTACTTTGGATCCACCATTGAAATTAAATTCCAATCCCAATCCTTCTAACTATATCACGGAGGATTAGTCACCAACCTTATTTCAACTCAAAATGCTCAAAGTCCGCAATCTTTTCGAGTTCAATACGGAATGATGTATCTAATCATACTTTAAATTTCATCAATAATTAATAATCAAAGCAATATTCATCCCATTCATTTAAAAATAATGAAACCATAAATAAAATGTAACATTTTTCATCCATAATTTAAAGAGATACAATTATTTTAAAATTATTGCCTAAAATATTTTGAAAGGTTCTGAATTTATTCAAGGATCTAATTTGAGGTTAGTTCCACTTTTTCATCTTCGATGAGAAATAATTATTTAGTTAGTTGGAGAAAGAGAGCAACTCGCTCGTTGTCAAAATATTGTGTAGGTCTCACTCGAGGTAACTCCTACTCGTAGTTGTTAAAGGCTATAGTAACTACTACTCGTTGGTTGTCAAAGTTACTACCGATGATTGTCAATGTTACTATTGCTTATCAAAGTTATTGTAACTTATCAAAATCATTATAGTTTGTCAAAGTTACTATGATTTGTTAAAGTTACTATCATTGCCAAACTTACTACTCGTTGTGTAAGCTATTACAACTTATTAAAGTTATTGTTATTGTCAAAGTTACTACAATTGAGGAGGACTTGAAAGCAATGAGGTTGCTACTCGCAATGTCATATTGTTCCTGTCAAAAACAAAATAAAAAAATGTAATCTACAATATTAGATTGTTCATACCAAACTTAATAATATAAATAATAATTTTTTTAATATTTTTTGGTGCCTCGTTATATCCAACCATTAGTTTCGGTTCTTACAAAATGAATATGTTGTCCTCAACGAAAGTTTAAACTCGCCCTTTTGGTTACGAAATGACCAAACTACTCTTGATAGCAGTTTACTCTTAAAATTCACTTAGGCTGATTTTGATCATTTTCTTAAGCTTCAAATACAAGAAAAAGCTAATGTAACCTCCTTCATTTTTTAAGAGAATCATCATCATCATCTTTCCGAGGGGTATTTTCTTGTTTAAGGTGATAATTTTAGGGTTTGATTAATAGGTGTTCATGGTTGCTAAAATGGTGTGTCTCAACTAAAAGAGGGAAGAACTTCTAGTTGCAATCAAGAGGTGAAGGAAATGGGTGAGATGTGGTTGCCAATCAACAATGGCGAGTTGTGGTTGCACAACTATTAAGGTTAAAGAAGGAGGTCGGTCATTTTGGGGAGTTGGTCTTCTAGTGGTCTTAACTAACAAAAAGAGGAGATTGGGCGGTGTGAAGGCTAGCGTGTTAATGTTGGTTTGAGTGTTTTAAATGGGGTTTTAAGGGTTAATAAGTTTATATGATGGCTATTACGAGGAGCTATTGTGATCTGTGATTTGAGGTTACTCGTGTTGGTTATCGGGTTAAAGAGGAGAAACTTTGGGTGGTGGCGCCGTTGGTATGGGTTGGAATGGAAGAAGAAGATATGAGTTGGTTTGTGGTGGCCTCGAATTGGAATGGGAGGAGAAGATACGAGCTAGTTGGGGTGGTCTTAGGCTAGAACTGAAAGAGGAGATGTGGATTGGTTGGTTGTTAAGTTCGTACTGGATGATGAGGAGGAAAGGGTGGTGGTGCTCGAGGCCAAAAAAGAGAAGGGTAGAGGAGAGGGTCATGATAATCTTTGGAGAATAATGGTTGTAATTGTTCTTTTTAAGAGATAATAAATAGTGATCATGTATAAAAAATGAGAAATGGTGAGTATTTATAGGGGAAGTTAGGGATTTTTAGGTAAAAGGTTAATTTTGGTTCCCGATTCCTCTTAATTTATTAATTTAAGTGCAATTTTGATTGTTTGTACTTTAATGACACCTCTAAATTTTAATTAATTAAGATCTCTTTTTTTAAAAAAAAAACAAGAAGAAAAATTTCTCCTAATTTTACCCTTCCTTACTTTTAATCGAGGGTTTGAGGTTTTGAACTTTTCAATTGTACCTTTAATTAGATTTTCTTTGGTTCTCAAACTTTTTATTTATTTTAATTAGACCCATCCAAATCTTTTTCCAAATAATTCTCGTTTCTCTCTCTCTCTCTTTTTTAATTTTCTTTTAACTCATAAATTTACATAAATTAATTGGGCTGAAAATTTGGTGTTAACGGTATTTTTGGGGTATTTTTTTTTCCTTACACTTTTGAGCTACCTTTAGTTATATTTCTTGATTTTGAGCATATTCAATGTGTTATAATGCATTATTGTATATTAAAATCGAAAATCGAAGACTACCAAGAGACTTTGCGGTGTTATAAGGTTAGACCTCGATGGAGTTGGGAGGATGAGTTTTCGATTGTATTTTTAGTACAATGCAAGATAAGCATTGATTTTGGTGTGATTTGGGGTTTTTTTTTTTTTTTTTTTGTCATGATTGACTTGTTGATTGTTTATTGATATGGCTTTTATGTTCAAATCATTACAATTTGATTTTAAAATAATTTTACCATATTTAGACATGCTTCGTGATGATTTCCAAACTGCTACTGCGTTTATTTTCGCTTGAATTTATGTGATTTTAAATTATTTTTTATTCAAGCATTTGCATGAGATAAAATCATATGATTTTATTTTATTTATTTTTGAGTTTATATATGAAAATGATTTTTAGTAATAAATCTCTGGCCATATGAGTATTTGTTTCATGCTAAGAGATTGATTTTGAGTTTTTCTCTTCGATCTAAATTTTAACTTTGTTTATGATTAATCACTTTTAATTTCTAATCGGATCATCCAAAAGTGATTTGTTTGTTCGATTTTATTTTCTAAATTGAACCATCCAAATATAGTTTATTTATTTGATTTCTCTTTGAATTTTCTAATTGAATCACCCAAAAACGATTTATACCTTCGATCTTGGTTTTTGAAACTCGAATCATCCAAAACTAGTTTGTTTTATTCCATTTATCTTTGAATTTTCTATTCAAATCACTTATGGGTAGTTTGCGTCTCTAATCTTGTTTTTTTAAAATCATCCAAAAATAGTTTGTTTATTCAATTTTGTTTTAATTTTTTGATCAAATCACTAATAAACAGTTTGTCTAATCGATCTTGTTTCCTAAAGTTGATTCAACAAAAAAAGATTTATTTAATAAATTTATTTTCTAATTTTCTAATCAGTTCATCTAGTACGGTTTGCTTCAATCGATTCACTCATCGAGATATGATTTAAATATTTTAATTTTTACTTCAAGTTTATAATACTTTAAAACTACAAAAATAGTTTACTTAACGTGTTTTGTGTGACTTACATGAATGTCTTTAGTGTTGTTCATCAAAACATTAAGGGTTGGTTCGTCAATGATGATATTTTAAGTGTTGTTTGTGTGATTCCATTTGGTTTGGCATTTGACCATGTGTTATAAGGATGGCAACTTGATGGTGAAACCAATTCGATGTCCGAAAATTGGAACCTTTTTTTACTCGTTTACTTTTGTGTTTATTTACTTGGTTACTTGCATTATTGAGCTTCAATGCCACTATTTTTCCAATAACGAGTTTTCATACATATATATTTATTTATCTACTTTTATGGGTTATCGGTAATTATGTTATGAATAACTAAATAGATAGTATTGCTTTATTATTTTTGCAATGCCCCGCATTCGGACCCATACATTATGGCATTGCAAGTGGAAGGATGCTACACATAATACATAGCTTAAATCAAATATAAGGAGAAATCCTAACATGTAAATACAACCTCACTCAAATAAGATCCAAATATAGTAAATAAAGTCCTAACATTTCATTATAGGATTATAGCTTAACATATAAAATATGAATTCTCAAACTTTTTAACACATGTCATAACTGAACATATTTATTAAAACATAAAAACTAATACATATTAGAACTTCAAATATAGCATTAAAATCAAGTGGTCAACTAGAAAAAGATTATAAAGGTAAATACATAACAATTTTCAAGTTGCCACTTAAATCCGACAACCAACTAGCCAAAAGAACAAAAGTCTAATCCCTTTACTAGAGTGAAATCAAGGTGCATCGACGAGTATCATCAACGTTTATGAAGGTCTCGTGGGCCAAAAGCCCTTCACTTACATCATAAGATAAAACATGAGCTAATGTTTAATAAACATAGTCATACTTGTCATTTTATAAACTTTCATGATGTATGTGAATATAATTTTTTTTATGTGGGCATTCTATTAGACGTTATGTCTAGTCTTATTTTTCTTTACCAAAATTTGCCTTTACCATCTGTCTTTACCAAAACTTTTGTCTTTCATGCATAACATGATTTCAATACATGTCATGGAATATGTAAATTTATGCTCATGATATAAATGCACATAGAAATGCACCAAAAGACTCATTTAATCACATATCACATTCACATGTAAAGTTATTGTGATGAGTTTGACCATGCTTACTTTAGTTCTTTTACAATTCAACAATTATCCTCTTCAAGTAATTAAATTTCTATCATCAAAACAATTCACAATATTTTCCTTAATCAATAAACTCATAAATAGACCTTTTACTCAACAATTAACTAATAAATTTTATATTTATATTTTACTATTCATTACTTTCAATCTTTCTAAAAATATTCTAACATTACAAGAACACTTCCATAAACCACATATTTAATCTTTCAAAAATATTTTATCATTACAAAAACAATCTCATAAGCCATATATTGAATTTTCAGCTTAATCTAAGTTCTATAACATCCTACATATAAAAAAAAAATCCTAATTTATTCCATTAAATCCTAAAATAATTCATGTAATAAAATCTAATCAATTAAACTCCAAATTAACTTCATAAATCATTAAACCAAGACAGTTAATTATAATCTAACCAATTAAAATACTTGATCATACTTATCTCAAATGGATTTTAAAACTCTAACTTTATCAATTTTAACTTAGATGACAAAGCCATAGCAATCCAACCTCATAACCATCGGTAATCATCTAAGAGTACGTCAAATAATAAAAAATCATAGTAAAAACCATACCTTTCTTTATGGGTTTGAATTTCAAATTCAAGAACACCAACTCTTCAAACTTCAATCTTGTTTAATATCAACTTAGATCATGAAAAACTAACATAATCTAATATTTTTTTCGGTGGTGTAATAAGTTAGAAATGGGTGAGAGATGGTGGAATTAAAGTCAAAGGGTTAAGGTTTGAGAGGAAGAGCAAGAGGAATGAAGCAAAAAGGGGGACGATGACCAATTCTCATCATTTTCTAACCCCTTAAACAAAGGCCACTTTTTTTTAACCACTTCTACGTACACTTCTATTCAAGACTCATAATTTCCATTACTATGATCTATCTTATTGGCACCCTAATTTTTACTCACCTATTTTTAAATTTCTTAGTTAAAAAATATTAAAAAAAAAGAAAAGGAAAAGAAAAAAATAAATGAGCAAAAATGACTAGGGGGTCCAATTAAAATATATGATATGAGAAATTTGGATAAAAAGAAAATCTAATTGAAGGCATATTTGAATGGGTTTAAAATTCGAAAGCGTTGATTAAAAGAAAAGAAATGTACAATTGGGAGAAATTTAAAGAAGAGGTCCCGATTAATTGTAATTAATGAGTGTTATTGAAGTTCAAACATACAAAATGACACTAAAATTGACAAATGCGGAGAAACTAAGGACCAAAATTGATGTCTACCCAAAACTCTAATTTTTTCTCTCATAAATACCCAACCTCTTTAGCCATTTAGACTGGTTAAGCATCCTAAGGAAAGAAAGAGTGTTTATCTTCCAAAAAACCAAATAATTATGCGAAACGACCTTTAAGAGGACTAGCTAACCCATCCATCTATGACTTGATCGATAAACTTGTGGTCTATTTCTCTCCCAAATTAGTCACCCTTTGATCGATATCGCCTCTTCCCACAACCAGAAATTGATAACCTAGCTTTAGATCAATCATTCTTAATTAGCTAGAGAGGTGGAAGACATCGAAGGTGGTCAAAAAACAAGAGAAATGACAAACCATCTAACCATTTTAGGAACCCGGATATATCTCTCATTTTTAGTCAAACCAACAACTCCCACCATCAAAAAACAATCGGTCATCCTCTATGAAGTAGACACCCTTAAAAATCATGGCTCAACATCATCGAAAATTGGTCGAATTTAACAAAACACCAATCCCGATATGTTTTTGAAGACTCGATCTAATCGATTAAATCGGACCTCCTAACCACTAGAGAAATACTCATTATAGTCTTCTAAGTCGATTCGTGTCTTCCTTATACCTAGCCATGGTCTTCCTTATACCTAGCCGTGGTCGGAATCACAATCAAAGAAAAAAAGGAAAACTATAGTGGCTATCAACTATAGATCTCCCTTTTCGGCTACAGTGAACCACACTCGCCAACATTGACGAGAGAGAGGAAAGTTAGGTGCACCTTCCCTAACCATCCATGCACCTAAAAGTCATCAAACGATGACCAAAAATGATGGTAGTAGCTGTTGGTCTCGTTAGGGCATTTTGATAATTTTTCCGGATACGTGTATCACACGCGCCAACACCGATTTTTCATATTTGACCAAGAACATTTTAGTCATTTCATAATAGTCTCTTCGATGCTTTAACGAGTAGCTGCACTTCTTCCTCAACTAACTAAATAATTAGTTTGCGTCTAGGTGGAACTAACCCCAAAAGGGAATTTGGATAAATTCAACACTTTTCAATAGCTATTTAAGGTAACTTCTAAAAGCATTTATATTGAAATGACGTGACATGCCTTAATGAATAAAAAATGGAATTATTTTTATTGTGATTAATTAAAAATCTTGATGTGATGTGTCAAATACATGATATTTATGTTCAATGCATGATTACCTAATTTTTTGTGCTTGAAAAGAAGTTGTCAATAGCTTTGAATCTATATGGGTGAAGCCACCAATGGCTTCTAAATCACTTTATCTAAAAAATTTTCAATTGAAATGAAGTCGTCGGTGGCTTTCTCCTTATATGGTGAAGTTATCGGTGACTTTCCTAAACTCATGATTTGAAATCGTCGGTAGGTTTTCACTTGTGTGGACTAAGTCGTCGGAGGCTTTTCAAAAAATATGAGTTAAAGTCATCGATAACTTCCTAAATGTTATGGATGAAGTCATAAGTGGCTTCCCAAATGATTTGAGTTGAAGTCATCAATAACTTCCTAAATATTGTGGGTGAAGTCATTAGTGGCTTTCCACTTATTTGGATGAAGTCATTGGTGGCTTTCCAAATGATACGATTTAAAGTCTTCAATAAATTTTTGAATATTGTGTTTAAACTCACTTGTGTGGATGAAGCCGTCGGTGGCTTTTGAATATTTTTTTAATGTCTTGCTATTGTGTAAATCGAAGCCGTTAGTGGCTTTCTATTTATGTGATGAAGTCATCGGTGGCTTTCCTAAACTCGTGATTTGAAGTCGTCGATGACTTTTCACTTACATAGATGAAGCCGTTGGTGACTTCTAAATATTTTTTTAATGTCTTATTGTTGTGTGAATCGAAGCCATCGATGACTTATCACTTATGTGATGAAGTTGTTGGTGGCTTTCCTAAACTTATGACTTGAAGTTGTCGGTGGATTTTCACTTGTGTAATCAAAGTTATTGATGAGTTTCGTTCTTGTCAATATAAGCTCTTCATCTTTAGAAACCCATCTATTTAACGATATAGGTTTGTATTCGCCAAAGATTAACTAGAATTCTAATCTCTACCCACTTTTCTCCTTTGGTTTGACCTAAACCCGAATCACTCTGCTATTCTATTCCAATAAAATAAATTCACTCAAATTGTTATGGAAATATTAAATAATAAAACTAGACTTTCATTTTCATATGCATTCAATGCAACCTACCTCACACGTGATGGAAAGACAATAATGTTATATCTTCCACATACATAACCGATCTCTTACCCAAATATCTATGCGAGACTAATTTGTTTTAAGGTTTCTTAATTCTCTCTAATTAGCTAGTTGGGGACTCTCTCCTGCGCACTCCTATGAGGCCCGATCGACATATCTCACTTAATAAATTCAATCAAGCTTAATTAAATCTAATTATTTTATTTTTCTAATATCAAAATACATTTAATCTAAAACCTCTCGCACAATAAAAAGAGTTAAAAGATATTAATCACATTCATAAAACAAGAATGAAATTAAGACAAACACATATGTATACGCATGTATAATATGAAGAAGAAAATTTCGAGTGTTACAATTTTGGTTACTAATGATATCAACTTTTTCTAATATGGCATGCTTACTTGAATTTGCTAGTTCAAGGATGTCTTGACCATATCCTTTTGAACTACGTCCTAGGTCCGCTTATTTGTTTGATGCCCCGTGCATATATATATATACTTAATAAAAAATTAATATTTGTAAACCTTTTTTTTTATTCGAGTACACTTGTGTAATGATTTCTTGATCACAAAATTCATGTGATTTGTATAGATATACATGTTTCATGCATATTAAGTACTCATAATTGTTTTAGGATCGAGTCCTTTTTCTTGTTCACTTTCTATCCTCTTTCTTTTGTTATTATCTATAAGTGAGTGATATGGACTAGACTTTTACGATTCCACATAGGCTCAATGAGTGTGAGTGAGGGCTTTTGAGCTCGTTTAATAAATCAATTGGGTTTTAACATCTTATTTTTCATCTTTGCTTCCGGTCTAATGTACGAGTAATGTAAGTGTAAGGAATAAGGTCTTTTGTTGGTCATGTTTTCGAATCACTTTTCTTTAGGATTGATTAGTTTTGAACTTAATAATGAATACACTCAATAGACATAAATAGTTTAACATAAAAAGATTAAAAAAAAAATGAATGATATAGGATAGTATATGATGCAAACTATTTTAGGTAAAACAGTTAATTGTCATCTTTTCTTCATATAACCAATCTCTTACATGTAATATATGTGTAGGCTGTTTTTAAGTAAATTAGTTACTTTAATATGATGTGATGACTCTTCTTATCTTTTCCTTTCAAACTTGCCACTCAAAGTACTCGTGCATCAATTTCCAATTAAAAAAATCAAATTTCTTTCAAAGTAAAATACAATTACTATGCTATGAAGAGAATAGCAATGAGGAAAATTGTAACTTTTTTAATCTAAGAAGCACTCCAAAATAATTTAGAGAGCGCATGATGTATCTGCTGCACAATTATATATACTTGTAATTCGTAGACGGTAATGGAGGAGAAAGCAGTTCAAGACCCATCGTCATCAGTCCCTTGCACGCGACATGTTCTCATGATTTTACGGATAAGACGCATTATTAAAAAGGCATCCTATGCCAATCTTTATTATCATTATTATTATTACTACTAATACTACTTATGAAGTATAAATCACGTCATTTATCATACTACGCAGCAACTTAATAATATTATTATTATTCTTTTTATGAATGAAAACTTTTCATAGATAAAGAAGGATTAGGAGGAAGTTTGGTATAGAACCTTTTAGATATCTTGGTGGAAAATATGATCATTAGAAAAATGATACTTGTGTTTGGTTGGAAAAAAAAAAAAAGTAACAACGTTTTTTTTAATTATTTTTTTGGTTTAATATTAAAGAATTAACAAGAAAGATGGATAATTTTAATATTTTACCCTTAAAAATTAAAGTATTTTCCTTTTTTCCTAAAAAGATAACTCATTTTCAAGAGTAAATTATAAATTAGTTTTTTTTTTATTTTTGAAAAATGAATTAAATAATTCTTCTAGTTTCAAAAACTAATTAAGTAGTCTATTTCTTTTGTTTCATGCTTTTTTTCAATTATTTTTTTCTAAGAAACAAAAACAGTAAAAAAAGAAGTAAATAATACGAAAAGATTAATAAGAAGAATTGTTTTAAAAAAATAAAATAATATTAAATTAAATATGATGAACATTAGTTAATGAACTAGATAATTAATTTTTAAAACTAATAAACTATTTAATTTGTTTTGCAAAATTAGATAAGCTAATTTATAATTTTCTCCATTCTTAATTATTTAAAAGATAGCTAATCCAATTAATACCTTCAGTGCTTCATCAAAATTGATTTCAATCGAATCTGAAACCAATTTTAGGAGATAAAAAAGAAGAATAAGGAAAGTACTTGCCTTTAAATATCTTAAAAAAAAAAAAAAAAAAAAAAAAAAAAGAGAGAGAGAACAATGATGATGGACTAATCTCGATCCACCATTGTTCGGCCTAAAGAGCACGATTGATCAAAGCTCCCAGGTCATTGAACCCCAGTCCACCACTCTCTTTCTTAGCCCAAAAAGTTTTCCATTTAGCCCAATGCAGCTTCCTCTCCTCACCTTTTTCACCCTACCAAAATTTTGCAACCATTTTGTTTGCATCCTCGCAAAAGGATTTGGGAAGACGAAACAATCCACCGTGTACATTGGAATTGCTGTAGCCACAAATTTTATGAGAAGATGCCTGGTAGAGAAAGTAGTTAGTTGTTCTTTCCATCCTTTGCGTTTAGAGCCCACTTTGTATTCTGGATTGGGAGACCAAGATATGAGCAATGTTCAAAGCTGAAACTAATCTATTACTGAGGTGGTGAGGAGTCCTCTTACTAAGGAAAATTGATGATTTGTCAGGAAATACGTTCCATAATTAATTTTATGCTAAGCCCAAGTTTCTTCATCATTTTTTTCCTCAAACATTCGTTCAACTCAATCAAAAACCTTGCTCATGTCAAGTTTTAAACCCATCACAAAGTTAATGGATCCACTGCCTGTACAAAGGCTGATAGGTCGCAGCTGCTTCATAGTTTGCACTGTTTTGACTTTGGGATGCTTTGAAGCATACGACCACCTTGAAAAACATATTAGAGCAACTTTGTAAACATCGATCATGCTCTCTAATTTTCCAGTTTGATTGGAAAATTTTCTGTGTCGTGCCATCATCTCCAAGAGCCTTATAAGTAGGATGGATTGAGAAACCTAAGATATATCTTTTTTCATATTAATACATGTAACATTTTCAATTAATTGTGTTTTCTAAGTAATCTTGAGTATTCTGGCACCAAAGGCTATCTAAACGAATGTGCTCATCATTGTACAAGAGCTTACAAGAATAAGCATCAAGAACTAGAAAAGTTCCAACTATTTCAGAATGATAAGCTTTTTGAAGCATAGTAGTCAGTATTCTGAAGCTTATGATGAACTACGCAGAAATTTTAGAGAAGTTTATTTCCAGACAACCATGAATACGCATGTTATGCTCATTCCAAGCAATTCTTAAAACAATAAAATGAAAAGAGTTCTTCCCTTATTGACGTTATTTCTTATTTCATCCTTTAGGAAACTATATTGTAATAATATCGTAATAATCTTTTCATTATTAGAACATATAATTTTCCATTATTATTAATATATTTATTCTGTAATCAGTATATATATTTGTATCTTTGTAATAACAAAATAACAAAATATTGTTACATTCTTTAATTTTTCATGTTATCATAGCAAGGTTTAAAACCTAATTTTTTTTCTCTTCTCCCAGTCATGTCGATTAATTTTGCAAGTGGTAATTGGACTGGTTTGGTGTCCGTTTTGAATGTTTCAAGTGTCGCAATTGATATCAAATCTCTATTCTACTTGCACCCGTCGAACCATCCAGGATTGATATTTGTTACTTAATCTTTATGCGAGAATGGTGAGAATTATTTCACATGGAGAAGCAACTTCTTCAACGCCCTCCAATCAAAAAACAATGCTGGATTTATGGGTGGATCAATACCCAAACCGGAGTCAATTCTCGAAATTTTCAAGATTGGTTTCAATGTAACGCAGTGGTTATCTAAACTTGATCCTCAAGGAGTTAAAACCAGGAGTCACCCACGTCATCACTGTAAGTGAACTCTAGTTTGATTTTAAAACAAGGTTTACTCAAAAAATTACACTTAAAGTATATGAGCTAACAATGTCGATTGTTTTGTTACAACATAAAAGAGCGGCTATCTCCTCATACTATGGAAAATTAAGAGGAGTATGGAATGAATTGCAGAATCTTAAGATGGAGCATATGCATGAAGAAGAAAATGTTTATGATTTTTTAATGGCGTTAGATGATGCCTATAGAACAGTTCGGTCACAAATACTGAGCCTTAAACCTCTACCAAGATTTAGAAAGGCTTATGCAGTGGTGGCTCAAAATGAAAAACCAAAAAACATAACATATTCACGCATATCTATTTTTGAAGCTACAATCTTATTAGCCAAATATCAAGCAACTCACAAATCAAAACAAGTTTCATAACCCAAATTGTAACCTCAACTTTTACTTCTTTTACAAATTTTTAAGAAAAAGGTAAAAAAAAAAAAAAAAAAGAAAAGGAAAAATGAGAAAATAAAAGGAAATAGATGAAAAAGAGAAAAAAAAATGTCAAAAGAAAAGCGATTGGAAGAAATTGGGGCAATATTATAATTATTAAAGAAATAAAAGTGCTGAAAAGAATAAAACTAGGATGTAATTGAAGAGAATTAAAAACAACGAGAACTAAATTGAAAGAGGCGATGGAATACGGGGACAAACTTGAAAGAAAAAAATAAATAAAACAGAACACTGTTTATCTCCTTCATCATTCCAGCGAGGTTTTTTTTTTTTTTCCCTTCCAGTTTTTGCATTTTTTTCTCTCTCTCTCTTTTCTAGCTTAATTTCTGCCTCACTACCAACCCAAAATAAATGCTCTCCTTCATTATGTTTTAAGTTTGGCTGTTTTGAAGCCTTGAAAGTTGCCCATGTTATTGCACAAAAGTCTCTCATGATAGCCCACCTTTGATTGGCAAATCAGATATGAAACGACTAAAAATCATGATAAAACCAACCTCTTCAGTGGCAATGATTTGGCAAAATCATAAGGCAGAGAAGACCCTCTAAACACTATAAAAAGGGATAGAAACACAATACAAAAGGGAGAGAGACGAAAAAAAATAGTGAAGAGGAGAGCAGAGAAATTAGGAATGACAATGGACAGGATCGGATATATTAATTTAATTTTTTATTTTACTTATCTAAAGAATATTTTATTCATTATCTATTAAGAAATTATTAAATAAATTTTTATTCACTGTATTGAAATTACATTTTAATGTGATTGTGCATGTTTATTTATCTATTTAATATTCATTAAATACTTGTTAAATTTAATTTATTAAAAATATTTATTTTAATTTTTATAATTTTAAGAAATTTTTTTTTATTCTTATTTTTTTTTTTTTTGACAAACTAAAAAAGAAGTCCTGGTCCATATGAATGTCACTTTTCCTAGTCATAGCCGGATGCTAATTAATTCTTGGCTTGGAAAACTCGTTGTGTTATAATATTGGTAAGGTCAGTAACAGACAATGGTTGTTAAAATTGTATTTTCATGTTGTGATTTTCATCATTTTTGGATTACAAGGAAAGTATGCTTATTGGTTCGTTTTGTTTTACTTGAATGATGGTTATCAAATTCTCTTATTTAAACAGATATAAGGGCTGTTAAATGTGATTGTGCAATAGAGAATATCGATAATTGAAATATACGCCTTGACTAAATAATATATATATATATATATATATATATAACTTTGACATTCCCGTTTTAGACTAAAAAAAAAAACCAAATTTGGTTCTTTTTCTTTACTAGGATACTTGATGATTTCTGCTAGTTTTATTTCAATCAAATTGCATGCATGCATGTAGAATATATTTTGACACCTGTTAAGCATGATTGTTTCATCTTAATCAAACAGATGTTTGCCTATTATTCATGCATGTCGGCAATTTATAAAAGACACTGTTGTTTTGATAAGATGGCAATATTGAATTCGGCAACTTCTGCAGCTCTTAGCAGATCAACTTCGGCAGTTGCAGCTCCTATTAGGCTCTCCACATGGGTCTTTAGCTGGCCCATCTACCAATATGACCTCATCAAATCTTTCTAGTAAAACAGAATTATGAATCATTGATACTGAAGTAACAGACCATATAGCTTGCAATCTTGACTCGATGACAAGTGTTCAATTAAATCCCGAGATTTCTCTAGTGTAAATTCCTAATGGAGATTACATTGCAGTTAAAGCTTTGGGTTGAGTAATCTTTGCCACAAATTAAGCCATGATAAAGTTTTGGAGGTGCTCATATTTTGTTCTAATTTAATTTACTCTCGTAAGTAAATTACAACGGGATTTCAATTGTATTTTAATTTTTGAATCTACTTTTTATGCGATACAAGATTTACTTTCGAATAAGTTGATTGGAATGAGTAGAGTGCGAAATGGCTTCTATTATTTAGAACCCATATAAATGGGGAAGGTTCTTATGGTAAAGAGGCACACTCCAACAGACTTTGTGGCAACGATGTCTAGATCATCTCCTAATGAGTCTTATCTCGCAAGTTCCTACTTTATTAGTATCGAGTGATTCTTTTTTTTTTTTTTTTATGATGCTTGTTGTGGGACTAAACAAAATCGATTGCCTTTTCCAACTCGTACAAATAAATCTACAAATAATTTTGATTTAGTAAATTGTGATATAATTGGGTTCCATATCATACTTCTTCTCATTTTGGGTCGTCTTGTTTTCTTATTATTGTTGATGATCACAATCGTGTTACTTGGATTTTTCTTATGAAACGAAATCGAAAACAAGGAACTATTTTCTATTATTTTTCAATTGGGTACACTCCCAGTTCAATCTCAAAGTCAAAATCTTTCACACTAACAATGGTCTTGGGTTTAATCATTCAAAATTAATGAATCATTATTTTGACATGACATTAGCATACATACGAGTTGCATAGATACTCAAGAACAAAATGGTGTGATTGAATGGAAGCATAGACATATTTTGAAAATGGCGAGGGCTTTACATTTCCGGACTCATTTACTAATTAATTTTTTAGGATAATGCATTTTGGCTACTACTTATTTAATTAATCGCATGCCACTCTCGATTCTTTAGAACTAGACTTAGCATGGGATCTCAATTGTGTTTTAATTTTTAAATCTACTTTTTGTGTGATACGGGACTTACCCTAAAAGAATTTGAATGGAGTGAGGAGAGTGTGAAATGACTTATATTATTTGAAACCAACGGAGGCGGGAAAGGTTCTTATGGCATAGGGGCACACTCCGAGCAACTTTGTGGCACCGATGTCTAGGTCATCTCCCAATGAGCTGCATCTCATTGGTTCCAACTTTATCGATATCAAGTGATTCTTTCTTTCTTTCTTTTTTTTTTTTTTTTGCTTGTTGTAAGGCCAAACAAACTCAATTGCCTTTCTAACTAGCACAAATAAATCTATAAATAATTTTGATGTAGTATATTATGATATATTTAGGGTCCATATCGTACTTCGTCTTATTTTCGATCGTCTTATTTTCTTACTATGATCGACGATCATAATCGTGCTATATGGATTTTTCTTATGAAACGAAATAAAAAACAAGGCACTATCTTATATTAATTTTCAATTGGGTACACATTCAATTCAATCTCAAATCAAAATCTTTCACATCGACAATGGCATTGAATGTAATCATTGGGAGTTAATGAATCATTATTTTGAGCATGGCATGAACAACAGAACGGACATGCAAGTTGCACGGATACTCCATAACGGAATGGTGTGATTGAAGAAAAGTATAGACATATTTTGAAAGTGACTAGAGCCTTACGGTTTCGGTCTCATTTATCGATTAGTTTTTAAGCGAAATATATTTTGACTCGTCGCTTATTTAATTAACCACATGCCACTCTCGACTCTTTAAAATCGGACCCCATATGAGGTTTTATTTGATAAACCATGATCATTTATGGAGTTTTGGATTTCTTTGTTATGGGCATGTTCATAGTAAGTCTTATGATAAATTCGTTGTTTGAAGCAAACATGACTTTTTTATGGAATATCCACATGCTCGGAAGGGTTACCAAATTTATGACTTGGATAGTTGTGCCATATATTCCTCTCATTACGTTCAGCTTTTTGAGGATATTTTTCCTCTTGCTCATATGGTAACAACTATTGTTAATACTCCAAAGGAATACAATTCTAACTTATTCGAGTTACAATAGCATTCTTAGTAGAGTCGCCTAATTTTTTTGATCCATATACTCAGCCCAACACCGTTCATACGCTGGAACTTCTTCTTTTACACGACCAACTTAAACTTCGCTTCTATCCATTCGATCCGATCCGTGTGCCTTAGCACTTCTTCTCCTATATCGCCGACCTAGTTCCACGTTCGACTCGATTCTTAATAGACCGGGCTTTCAAATGCTACATTAATAGATTCTCCTATAATTGGGCCTTTTCTCGCTATAGACCGAGTCCCTTCTATAATAACCTCCTATGCCTTTGGTTTTGAATTCTCCAATTGAATAGAATGAGGCCCTCTCATTTTCCGATCGGAATGGTTTTGGGTAGCATGTCACACCCTCTAATCGGCCTACTCATGCAAGAACATTATTTAAGTATCTCTCGGGCTTCCATTATAATTTGCCACCTTTTTTATTGCCTTCCTCATCTTCACACTTTACTCCTCACTCATCTAACTCAATGTTACATCCTTTATCTCATCAATTTTGTACTCTAAATTTTCTAACACTTATAATGCTTTTCTAACGACCATCTCTTCCATCGATTAGCCTACATCTTTTTCTCAAGCAATTCAACATCTTCATTAGCGGGATGTCATGGCCTAGGAGATCTCTACTTTAGAGTCTAATCACATTTGCACACTTATGCCTTTACCACCGGAGAAATGTGTTAGTGTAGGTGCTCAAGATCCAACCATGTTTGGATGGGTTTGAGTTAATGTATTATTGTAACATTTATTTTGATAATAATAAAGAAGTCATCCTATTAATTCTTATGTTTTATTTTTATAAATTCAATAGAATTAGATAGAAGTCCTTTTGATATGCATTTACAATAGTGATTGATTGAAAGATATGAGAAAAACACCGATGTATATAAATGATATCATTAAACGTCTCAAGTCGTGACATTGTCAAGAATGGACATTGACTATATGCGGATAGATTTGTGAGTGCTATGCTTATGCTATATGATAACGAGTAGGAGATCTCACACCTATTGACATGGTGATGCCAAAGCAAGCACTTAGGTGATTTATCCTAGGGAACATATGACTGGATTTGACTCACCATGAGAACTTATTTGGTTTTAGTCTATAGGAATCTCATATGAGATGGGGATAAATGATCTTTAGACTTGAAGTCATCACAATTGTCTTATTAGAGAACTTATGCACTTTGACACTCGTTTCGATAGACCCATTAAAGTATTACGCATGGACGATTCGTTAGGTGCACTAGGAATCTAATAGAGATAAGTGTATGACTAAGATAGGACATGTCATTCCTTGTATGCTAAAGGAGTTATCACATTGCATTTCGATAAATGTCCGTTCGAGAAATTTATGCCCACCGTAGGAGTACACCAATAGAGCATAGTTGGTTTACTCTAAGAGCTCGGACATTTGGAAATCAAAGAAAACTTTTGATTATAATCGAACAAGACTTATAACCAAGTTCGAGATCACACTATGATAAGTTAACACGAGGACTAAATTGTATAGTAACCATACTTGTGAAAGGTAATAATGGATTAATTAATCCTCCTAGAGAATTGGTTAATCATGATGCCTTATTAGAGGTCAATCTTGATTTATACATTAAGAGATAAAAGATGAGTTTCTTATTCTTGATACATTGCCAACATATCTAGGAGCCTATTGAGTCATACGTATTAGTTTAAGTATTCACATGATGAATGAGAAGCAAATATATTAGAAAAGATTTCAATTTTGGTTCTAAAATGATAAGTTTTCTTAAATAGAAAGTTTTCTAAAATGAAAAGTTTTCTTAATTAGGAAGTTTCCTAAAATGAAAATTTTTCTATTTTAGAAATTAATTTCCTAATTTGGAAGTTGGTTCTAAATTCGAAAATAAATAACCTAAAATAGAAATGAGTTTCCTAATTTAGGTTAAAGGTTATTTTGAGAAATTGTTTCCAAATATGAACCCACCTAAAATAATCTAAGATTATTTATTTGGATAGTTTCAATAAATTAATTAGGTCAAATTGGTTTTGGCCCACTAGGTTTAATTAAAAGCCTTAAGATATTTTGGTGGGAGGATAAACATTAATATTATTCGATAAGGATGAATGTTTTAAAGATAAAGATAAAAAATTTCACATGTAAAAATAACTCATAATCCTTAGAGGATAGGAAAGCAACAACCTAGAGGCCTTAAGGGACTCATTGTCGCCCATCTCTTTGTCCTTGGAGGATAAGGAAACTCTTATAAATATATATGGGAGAGAGAGAGAGAGGTGCGACACATAAGAAAAAGAAGAAAAAAGAAAGAGAAGAAAAGAGAGTTTCGGCCAAAATTGAAAAAGGCCACTAGGGCACACGGCAAGAAAAGTAAAAAAGAGAGAAAATAGTTTTCTCCAAAACCCTAGCACACCACTCTTTCCTTCTCCTTTTAAGGTTGTTGCAAATTACCCGAATAGATTTCTATAGGAAAAAACTACATAAATTAAAAAAGATAGAGCTAGCACCCTATCAATTTTGAGTGCTTCTTTGTGGGTACTTTGACTTCGTAGATCATCAATAGAGGTCGAAAACTTAAACAACTTTTCTATTAAAAGAATTTAGATTTGCATTACAAGATTTAATTCATTATTATTTAATTCATTATTCATTGCTTTAAATTCATGCATGTATGGTTAGTAGATTTAACGGCTTGATCTTGGGCCCTTAGATGGAGAAAATTTTTTTATTTATTCCGCACCTTAATAAAATGCATGATCCTTCAAAATGTACCATTGATTCTAAATGGGTATACAATGTTAAATTTCATCTTAATGGTTTGATGGAG